ACCAACCGAGCATCGATTTTCTTTGATGAATAAAAGTGTCTTCAAATGTTTCGCATGTGCGTTTTTTCAAAACTGTCGCAGCTCAATTAAATCGAGAAATTATTCGTAAAGAATTAGTAAAAATATAATATCAGAAACAAGAATTATTTCTAGAATACAATTCACAGTTTAATTACACGTTATATTATTCTTGTAAAATATCACCTTTTTTTTTTTAAATTTCCTACTCTTAAATTCACGCTTTTAAGATTTCGATGTCTTATAATCTTGACAAAGGATTAGATTATTCCCAATTGTGACAATTTTGGAATAAAATGGCTCACGAAAGCATTATAATATCCATAGAAATCTTTTGTCGGTATATTATTCGTAGACTGCAAACTTTTATGTCAATTTACATTTTTGAAAGATAGAATCTCGACAGAGAATTGTTTTACATACTGAGTGCTATTGAAAGCACGATACTTTGGATATTTTTTATATTTCTTGACTGTGCAATTCTGCACTTTCAGATCTCTTATAAATGCACAAAAATCTACAGTTTAATTATGCATATCCGTTGAAATTTCATTAGCACTGTTGTCACGAGATCCAACTCTCCTGATTAGACTGCGGATTTTTATGCGTTTATGTGAAATTTAAATATGAGAAAATGCACAGAATGCGCACACATAATATGTAGAAATATATAAAATAATGAGAATAGATCATTGGCTAAATTGTTGCAACAACGGACTTCACAAGCACATAGAACCTCGATTATGTATAGAAACCCACAGTTTAATCACGATTGTATTGATCAAATTTGAAGCCTGTAAAAATGCACACTTCTGATCAAAAATCTTCGAACACTTCTTAATTTTAATATACAGTAGGTATACACGTCTATCGCAAATAATAAAATTTTTTAATTCCACGTTTGTATTTGATAATATAATTATTAACATATGGGATTCTTCGTTCTACAAACGTGTCATTTTATTTTTCCCAATTTCGAGAAAAATATGAAACTTATCTGAGACTTTTTCCGAGCTTCCCAATGCTAATGAAAAATATACCCGTGAAAGATTTCTATGACGAGCATCCAAGTAATTTCGCAGGCAGATATTTGTGCGCGACACGTCGATACATTCCTGCAAAATTCCCAAACCGCATGGACATTCAGAAGAAATCAATATTGGATCAATGTTGATGCAGATATTCGATCGAGTATTTGAAATATACCGCGAACGACGAGTGATCGATGAAGTTCGCGCGATTGATTGTCACCCTGTTGGAGGGTCGCGAGGCATTTGTCGCTTTGATTTCACGCGGAATCAAAACACGGAATGATATACTCGTCTCGTCTTCTCTCCGTGCTTACCGCTCTCACGTTCTCGCGTCTCGTCTTTCGAACGAGCGTTTCAGAGTTTTATCAGACGATAAACTGCTGTACGTGATCGTTGGATCAAACAAAAAAAGAATCAGTCTCGGCGATTTCTGATCCGTGGATCTTCGTGAATCACTCGGGCGACTCGTCGTGTTCACTTGAAATCGATCGATATTATCTCTCCACGTTATAACCAGAATTTCGTTTGCTTACTGTCACATCATAATGATTTCTAATAATTGCTAACAACAATGTGATAATAATTATTATTTAATTGTAGCTATTTAGTACAATTTCGAATCTTGGAACTAATAATTGTTATTAGACTGCGGAATTTTTATTTTATGTATTTTTGAGAAATTTTAATAATAGCAGTATTTTAATAAATTTTTTCTATTCATTCTATTTTTTTAACTGTATTCTCATATTTTCAAAAATATGAATTTGCATAAAAATTCGCGTAATAATAATTATTACAATTGAATTATTTGAATTTTTGAAGTTCGACACATAAAATGCAATTTTTTTTAAATGTGAACGTACGAATATGTAATTTTCAAGTCATACGACGTCAGAGAGAATTGATGTAATCGAGAAGGAAGTGCGTAGAGTGAAAAATAAAAAGAAGAAGAAGAATGATAAAACGAGTGCGTGTTTATTGACGGATCGATTTCGAGTGAAATAAAAATTAGCATTCGCCAAAGATCATCGTCTGATAACGTAGATTACAGATTTTTGTACATTTCTTCTGTTTTTGCAAACACGATTAAAAAATTGAGAAAGCCAAATAGAAATTCGTTTCCCAAACTAAAGATCTTAAAAAAAAAAAAAAAAA